TTTATTCGTTAATTTATACATTTAATCCATGTATTAGATTCTATACTGAAGTCAAATATAAATCATATTTCGTAAACAAAGGTATGTTTGGTAAGTTATAATATATGAATAAATTGCATCAATCATGATATGCTTATGAGTCATACTACACATTTATAAATGTGCCATGTGTGATCTGTGATTCACATCGATAAAAGAATCGATCTTTATGTATTTCATAATATCCTATCGTTTCCTTTTGCGCGATTCACTGCAATATTTTATGAATTGTAAATTTTCGTCATTGAACAGAAAATTTGCATTTTGTGAATTCAAACAGATTTAGCTGTTACTAACGTAATTACGTGTAATATTTACTCACGGAGTAAGATTCTTTGAATACAGTCCCGCTTGAATTAATCTTTTAAATTCTCTAATTTAAATCTTTACTTCTAAACAGGCATGAATATTTTTTACGGGTTATAACTACTACATAAAAATAGAAATCGTTATTACTAAATCTCTCATTATTTTTATTTTTTAAAAATAGAAATATATATTTTTAATTTTAAAAAAGGTGATACTTCTAATAAGGAATAATGATATGTTTTTATCTCAATTGTAATAAATTGAATAACGATTTTATCTCAATCATAATGCAACATTTTATATAATATTCGTTAAAAAATAATTCAATAATTTCGGGTGATCTTTTACAAAGTAAAGAAATATTTTTCGATATAAGACAAATGAGATCTTTTTATAGCTGAAAGATTTGTGAAAAAAATAATTTAGTACAGAAATAAATGGTATATTATAGTGAGAATAAGGTTTTTTATGTTTTGCTATTTTTATATAACTAAACATGACGTGCGATTAATAAATGTTAATTTTATGTGTCGATGTTAGAACCACATTTGGCACATTTATGAATTTCCATTTACAATGCTTGAAAATTTTTCATTTTTTTACTTTATGTTAAGTTTATAATCGTAAAAATAGAATTCGAGAAAAAATTCTACGAATATTAAAAAAAATAATATAATTTAGATGTATCCTGGTAAAAACATAAATTTAAAAATATAAATATGTAATGAGAAAATTCTCATATAATAAGCGGTAATTCAAACAATTTTTTTTTATTTGTTCAATACATACTATTATAGAAAATTGCATGTGATTGATCAACAACAAATAAATTAACTGTTTCTGATTGTTTTCGTTACTTCTTTATATTTATAAAATTAAAATATAATTGTCTCGCTCAATAAAACTTAACGTTTCTTTAAAAAAAGAAAAAAGATAACGCGCGATATTATTCTTAATATACTTATATACTTTTTACACGTTAATCAAGTATCGAGGATAATATTATCTAATAAGAATAGTTTTTGTTACGTTTTTGCGTTGTATCTTTGATTAAAAAAAAAAACTATAACACATGATATGCTCATTTAGTCGCTCATTTATCGCTTTGCGAGATACACGTCTATTTTTATCTCCAAGTTGTATAAATCGCATACAAAACAAGGAAGTTGGGAGACGAACGAGGACATAAGTGAGCAGACGATGACACCCGTCTGAGTGTAAATATAATTCGCGATCTCTCGTGGGCGAGTTAAGTGGTCGTGGCGAGACGGTAAACGCAGAATAGGCCACAATTAAGGAGACGCGATATCCCCGTTCGGGACTGACGTGGCCGGATTGCGCATTTCGTTTTAAATTTGTTTAAAGTGCGGAAAATTTATGACAGCGCACACAAGAGCCGGAAGGTCATACGATAGAAGATAGAATTAGCATGAATTGCTCGAACATTAAAGAGTTTCTTTCTCTCCTCCTCTCTTATGTATTTTTCCGTGAACTTTTGTAGTTAACTCTTTTTCATTTCTGCACTTTTCTAATTAATTCTTTTTCAAAGAAACATCTTCGTTTCTATCTAATTGCAACGTACTCGTAACGAACCATTTAGATTTTATGAAAACGAGATTTATATTATATGTCAACTTCGTTTAGTATAAAATTTTTCAAAGATTTTCTTTAGAATCATTTCTCCATTTTAACAAAAATTTGATTAGATTTATTATCTCATGGAGAAATAGAAAATAGTATTTTAAAAGTATGAATATTAAATAAATTATAAATGGAAACTCTTATATTTCTCTTGAATTTATTTTAGAAATACGATTTATTCATTTATAATTTCGAGAAGTGAATTTATTTCAGTCTTAGCAATATTTAATGATAAAAATGATGTATAAATAAACTGATAAATTTTAGAATATAATTTTATTAAATCCTATTCGCATGAATCATATTTAAATCTTTGCAACTTTACGGGTTTTTTTCGTTCTTCATCGAATATGGTATCAAAAGAAGATTATATACCTTTTATCGGTCCCTCTGAAATATTTTCTGAAATTTAAAGTGCATGCATATTCAAAAACCTGTTCCTGCGGCGCGTCCTGCACGAGGACCCGTCAATAAGACAAAGATTCTGCGTGCGGTATGAGCGCTCCTGAAGGACATGAAGGAAGGTGAAGAGCCAATTACCCATAATTTCGTGTCTCGCGTAATTGGAGGAGAAGAAAGAGACGGCAGTCCGTCTCGAGAGTTTCCGTCTCCCGTACTTCAGCTCGCCGTCTCATCGGCGATCTCTCTCTTACTGGCCGCGGAGAATTAATTCAATTTCGGTCTAGCTGACGAGGCTTTCTGGGACAAAACTATATTGCACGTCCCTAAATTCTGAGCCCTTAAGATCTTACTATCAATGGAACGCGATTGTAATTAGGGACGATGTCGCGTGGCTGCCAAGGCTTTCGCGATATAGCACTGAGTTAGCTGCCGACGAATTTCTTGCGAAAATGGAAGATCAAAGATCCTTTTGGGAACGCTCAGTAAATGTTAGACTTGAAACCTAAACCGCGCGAATCACTTTGTTAAAACCACGAAAATTGATATTTAATATATTGCGATTTTCTCTAATTTAATGCAGCAATGTTATAAAAATATGTATCTTGAAATATATGTTTATTATTGTTTATCTATGATAAAAAATCTATTTTTTGAATATTTGAAAGGAAACATATAATAATAAATTTTGTGAACTCCACAAATTATATAAAAAGTATATAAATAGATAATAATTAAAAGTTGATTTTTATACTTAGATAATTTTTATATTTTGTATTTTCTGAAAGGTAACATAATGTAAAATCAAAATTTTTAAATGAGAAAATATACACAATTTACATTAAGCACTTTCGATCGATTGTCGATTACTCTAAGAATTTAAATACGATACAATGTGACGATATATACATAATGCTGGTCATTAATTTTCATACACTGGAGATGCAGTTAGATATAAATTATTTCTCATAGAATAAAAATGTGATTATTATTTACTGATTCTAGTACACGAATTAAAATGAATAAGTGGATAAGTGGGCAAGCAGTTCCTAAATTCTGTTTCAACCCCATTAAAAACGATTGCTTGAGAAATAAACTTTTCAAATGTATTTAATTAATCTAGCCATCTTTATTTATGCACTCTAGAATTTATGTTTGCTTCATTTTTGTGGTGAGGCCCGGATGCAAGTCTTCACTTTTTCAAAAAATTTTTACTTTCTTTCAAAAAATTTTCAAATACATGTTTGCTAATAAAACTTAATGTAATTTAATGTAACTTAAATATAACTTAAATCTAACTTAAACCTAAATTATCTTAACTATACTGCTGTAATTCGTCCCTGATATATTATAGTGCACTAAGTATGTTTTCGTTTAGAGAAATAATTCCTATTTGACTCCATCTAGGAAGTACAAAAGCAATACATTTTGAGATACAATCTGTTTAATGCTCGTGTGACATTGTCCTCGATCATATTTATTTTCATACTCTAGATCATTGCTGGGATTTACTTGTAACTTTCGGCCAGATTTCTTAGCTTACGTCTATTTCCCCTCTTACCGTTCGTGCCGCTCGTAATTAAGGAGCGCTCAGGAACGTGTACGTTACAAATATAATGTGGCAATCTATCTATCTAAGTTCTCTTTATTGTTTATTAATAATAAAAATAATTATTCTACTATTAATTTCGTTTCAAAACACAAATATTTCTAATTGTTACAGAACATGTACGTAATTAATGCGTAACGAACGTTCGGTGGCGCAAGTGATAAAAGGGCAACAGTAGGCGTAAGCTAAGAAATCTGGCCGAAAGTTGCAAGTAAATCAGTACTGCTCTAGATGAAATCAAATGTAAATTTTTTTTCTAAACGAAAATATAGAAATAGAACAATAGGCCTCAGTCTCTTGAGATCTCGTTTGTTACCTCGATATGTTGTTTGGACGATAATAGAATAAATGCGGTGAATGATAGCTATGAAATCTTATTATATATATTTAATTATTTCAGTAATTTCTTTTTAAAATTATAATTTTTGAATGAGAAAAAAATATACGTATTTACGCCGAGCGACTGGAAATATATGTTTTGTATTGTTTATCTATGATAAAAAATCTGTTTTTTGAATATTTGAAAAGAAACAATAATAAATTTTGTGAACTACTAATTATATAGAAAGTGTATCAACAGATAATAATTAAAAGTTGGTTTTCATACTTAGGTAATTTTTATATTTTGTATTCTGAAAGATAATGTATATGATTGAATCAGCGGATATTTCCAAATTAAATTTTTAATCGTTTAGATATTTACATTTATATTTTTATATATTCTGTAACAATTAATGTATAATACCTTGATATCCTCGGAAATTTGTATCTTTTCGTTATATATTTTATCTCATTTTTTATCGGAAGATTTATATATATATAAAGCTTTTAAACATAAAAATATTAATCTTGTAGAAACTGTTTAATAGAAAATTTTTTATTTATTACAATCACACGTGTAGATTTTTAATTAAATAAAAAAAATATATTAAATTTTACCATGTTTGTGAGATATGATCGAAAAGTAATTTAATGATATATATCTGCATTATTTGCATTTTAGCACACCAGCATATGATTATGCACCTAATCCCGATAAGCAGTGGATACTACAAGTTACGCAGAAGATGCAACCTATTCATAAACAGTTTACAGATCTTTTAATGACGAAACGACTGCAAACTTTACAAAGCGTTGATGCTGCCGTAGATAGAGTACGTATAATACTTCACATTTGTATTGCAATTAATTATATATAATGTTTAAGTATATAATGTTAGATTATACAATATAAATGAATTATATATAATGATTTTATAAATCATTATATATAATCATGTCAACTTCAGAAAACTATTTTAAAAACTTTAAAAAATATTAAAATATCATTTGCATTAATTCTATTATAGATTTATCAAGAATTAAAAGATTTGGGTGAATTAGATAATACGTATATTATTTATACATCCGATCATGGATATCATTTGGGACAATTCGGGCTTATAAAAGGCAAGAGCTTTCCGTTCGAGTTCGATGTAAGGGTACCATTTCTCATTAGAGGACCTGGCGTCGAACCCGGATCCATGTAAGTCTCTTAATTACACATTTAATATTTTGAATGTGTTCTTTATTATTAAAATTTAAAATTGCATGCATTATCTAGTACTTATTATAGTTTGGATAACAACTCTAGATTGAAGTTAATTCTGTTTTGTGAAAGAAAAAAAGAAAGAAAGAGAATATTATACATATGTATTAAATAAAGGAAAAATTTATATATGTATAAATTTAAAAAACTAAATATTTCATAGATTTGTTACATGTCTGTGAACAATCGTAATCACAATCATTCATATATCAGCGCGGACGCAATAATATGTGTTTCTAAAAAGATATTATCGAAATGGCTCTCCATTATTTTGTATAATTTAAAGTCATTAATTTTTCTTAATATTTTAAAAATATTAAGAAGTGTAATTTCTCTTGTCAGTTATATTAATTTTATTTTCAGTATTGAATGCAATCTCTTTATATATCTTTTTCACATTCTCTTATTAAATCATACAATTGTCTCTCTCTTCATACATACATTCTACTTTCGAGAGGGTAATAATTCGAACAAACAATATGTAATAATTTCTCGTTAATAAGCAAGAAATGTAATAACACATCAAGGCATTCGAATGTCTTGTCATGGTTCAAAGATACAATCTAAATAGATTAATCTAAATAGAACAATTGTTCGTTTAAATTCTAGGCAAGATTTCATGCTAATAATAGAGATTTGCTTGTAAGTGGCCGTTGTCTCGCCATCTTTTTGATTTACGAAGTCCTGAACTCTATCGAAAAAGCTCCGAAATAAATTATTCTTATAGTCTATAAAACTGAACCATGAAAGACAGAGATGGTAAGTAAAAGAACAGATTATTCCCTAATCAGTATAAACGTTAGCCTACGATCATTATTCAAATAATATTTGTAGAAAATGACATCATTTTTTTCGAGGAATATTACATCTTTATAAAAATTATTAGGAATAAGAAAAATATAAAATATTAATTAAAAATCGTCTTTTATTTTAATAAGTTGCAAGAATGTATTAATCATAAAATGAAAAAAGTATAAAAAGAAGATACATTTTCTATTTTCTATCACTTTCTATATTCTTCCATTTAGCTTTATATGTCAAATTAAAAACACTAAATTGCATATTAAAAAATTTAATTGTTATGATATTTTCTTAAATATAAGCTTAAACAGAATTAACTTGACAAAATGAAAGTTTTTCTTTGCATAATAGTTACAACAAAATTTTTAACCATAGATCTCCAATATCTCAGAAAAAAATGAGCTAAACATCATTAAATATCATCGAAAAATTGATAAATCTTCTTTATTTCAAATAATTCAAATACTTTGAAAAGACAACTATATGACTATAAGAAATTTATACAAGGTGTACTACGGTGTATGAGTTATTATAATATTGATATTCGCGCGCACAAAACTTTACCCACTGCACGACTTGGCTTTCATTCGTGGAAAGTCATTTAAAAACAAATATCAGAAAGTGTAAGGCCAGATATTAAGGTCGTAATAAAACATCCACATAACGTTGCAGAGTAGATGACATAGTTTTGAACATTGATCTGGCGCCGACGTTCTTGGATATTGCCGGCGTCGAAACTCCACCACAGATGGATGGTCGTTCTTTCAAGAAACTCTTTCTCAAGTAAGAACGTTGGTGATTTTTTTCTCAAAATTTATTTAAAATATTCTTTTAAATTGTTTAACTTATTATTTTTTATATATATTTTATATATATTTTTATTGTATATTTTTGATGTTTTTAAAACATTTAAATAACTGAAATTATTACATCAGAAAGGAATTTTTAATAAAGCTTCATTTAAAAAATTCAAAAGAATAATTTTAATCTTCGATATATAACTGTCGAATAATTAAACTTATTTTTTATTATAATGCTTTATATGTCAAACGCATGTCTCTGATAATACTAATAATAATATTTTTTAGTTATTATTAGGATATAGAACTTTTAATTTTTTTAAAACTGTCCAACTTTACTACCTTTTACTTTTTACTTTACCAATCCATAGCGAGTTAAAAAAGTTCTATTTTATCTCTTATAATTTTATTATAATCTATCAGAACTTTCTGATTTGATTAAGCAAAATCGCGTTATTAAAGCGTGTTTTTTGCTGCAACACTTTTTGTAAATTTAACTCTGTAGCGAACGAAAATTTCCACCTTGTGTGTAATTCCATTAAATTATTTTAATTATAATTCCGTTATACGCGAAGTAATATTTTCAATTTTCTGGCGATAGCATTCTCGGTTGTGAGAAAAGACCGTTGTTACAGTAGCAAGCATGGTAGAAGGTCAAAGTTCAAGTGGCCCGATACATTCCTGATCGAGTCCTCTGGCCGCCGTGAGATTCCGGAATCTATCGCTGAATCGAAGACGCGGGAAGCTAAGAGGCAAAATGCTACGCAGGCTAAGCAGCCACCGAGCTCGACACCAGAAGAGGATGATGATATTCCTGATGCAGATGCGGATGTTGAAGCGGAGCATCGATTTACAGAGAGTGACATCGGAAGTGATCAAGATATTTCTGACGACGAAGACCTTGAAGATTCGATTATCGATGAGACAAGTGAGTTGCTTATTATAATTTGATTTGATTCAAATCTCTATTTTTCATTATCGACCGTTTAGTTTTCTAAAAATATTTTCGCGATGCAGGTTATATAAATATTTTTATCGCGAGGGAATGTTCAAAATAATCCGATACGACCCAGAAAAATTGTGTGCAAATGGTCCATCAATATTAATTTATGAATTTATTATATTTGATGAATTATTGGAATTTATATATGAAACGATGAGATTGTACAGATTTATATGATTCATTACATTGTGAATTATTCTCAATATTACAATCGGTTAATGGAAATCAGTCGATAGTTGAAGTCAAGTACTTTACATTCTTTTTTCTATTATTCGTAAAATTAAATTGAAATATGCATAAATGAATATTTTAATCCATTTATGTGTTTTCATTCAAGCGTAAGAAGCACTCAAGATAGAATCGCGATATTCTGCCTGATATTAATTATTATAGTCACATGCTTCTCCGATGAGATTTATAATGTAATAATTTTCAATAGAGCTCAACATTATTAAATATCTTTAATACAAATCGTGCAATCGGACTTCAGTTCATGACATCAGTTAAAAAATTGATTTCATAAAAATGTGGCTAGATCCGTTAATTCGACTGAAGAGCAAATGCTCCAAACGCAGTTGCACTATAAGGCTTACCGTTACAACCAACCAGCTGCTGTATATTGAGCATTACAAGTGTGGAAAAACGAGTTCTTTCCCTGATATGCATTAGCATAAGTACCCGGTTCTTGGGATTGACAGGACATCTTTCTTATATATATTTCGAGATTATGGAGCACTTTGTCGCGAGAATATGTTCAGCAATAAAGAACGTGCCAGTAAAAGTGGTGTAAATATGCATATTTGTATATCACGTTCTTCCAACATTTCTCAAACTTACGTAAAGGGCATAACTTTTGTACGTGTTGAGTTATCAAGAGTTACGAAGAAATGACCTTATAAGCGTAGTTTTTTTTGGAGATTCTTCTTTCCAGGGAAGCATGATGTTCAAATTCTAATCCTACTTTATTGCCTTCCACTTATATCAAAGTTTATTTTTTCGCTCGCGAAGTAACATTCGCAATATTATCAGATAATTTCTTTATATCGTTGCAAACGTGAAGCTTCGATGAAAATTAATTTCATTGCTCTAATATCGCATCATCTTTAATTTTATGATTGTCTGACTCCATTTAAATTTTCGTGATTTGATGTTTCCTATTCGTAAATATCTTATAATCAAATATCCATTTCATCTTGAGACCACTTTGATCTTTCTTTGAAGCAATATGACAATTATGTATTCAAAGATGGAAATTTCAAGAATTTCTTCAAAAAAGGAATCTCGTGCATTGAAATTTCTCCAATAATCTGTTTCTATTTTTCTATTGGAAATAATTTTATAAAAATTGTCTTTTATAAAAATTTCCATCATGAAAATTAGCTTGCAAATGTCTTAAATAAATTCGCAGACGTATATCGACGAGAGAAATTAACTAGATTTACGAGACCAGATTCACGAGCAAAATTACAGAAACTATTACTATTATTTCCTAGCAATTTTTGCTGACTTTTATTAATGGAATGATATATCCGACGAATATATATCCAACATAAAAGTCAGCAAAAATTGCTAGGAAGAAATGACTTCTATAATTTTGCTCGTGAAATCCAAAATCCGTTAAATTGACGGTTCCATAAATTTAGTATTAATTAGAAAAAGATCCTTCATTCGGCAAAATTAAAACGTTATTTATAATGTGATAAACGATCCTTCCAGGTTCAGATCCGCATCTCGATAATAGGGTGCATGCTATGCACACGCCTTTCGCGACGAAGCATGAACGTCTCGCGGCGGAGTGTTCGCGACCGGAAACACAGACCGATTGTCTTCCTGGACAGAAGTGGCGATGCGAGAGGGATGGACACCGATGGCGACGACACAAGTGTAGATACGCGGTGCCGCCACCGCAAAGGGTGTCCAAGAAGTGCGCTTGTTTCACACCTCACGGGGTGATCTACACGAGGCTCGAATCCAACGATTACGACGGACAAAGGTACAGTCCCCCGAGGGATCGCCGACTCGTCCTTACGAGGGATCTTTACAGTGACACGATGGGATATTTCAACAAAAGAGGTGAATGTCTTAGCTGATAATCTTATGTTTATATATTTTCTCGTAGATAAAATATAAAGGAATTAATTAAAAGATATATGTTCACCCAAAAATTTTAAATTCTTCTAAAAATCAATTTCATTTTTAATATTCTAAAAAAATATTTCAAGTTATTATAATAATTGTTTTGTTAAAATTATCAAAAAATGATTGTAAGGTAATTTGACGTAGGCAAGCGAGAAGTTGGATTGGATGAAGAATTTAGCGATTATTTCGTGTTGGAAGACGAACGGGACAGGCGTGCGATTGATGAAGAAGATGACGAAAACTTTCTTCAGGAGTTGGATCTGTTGACACAGGAAGTGAAAGAAGAGTACGAGACTGCACGATCTAGGTATAAAAATGATCATCAGATATCGCGACGTTCGGATAAATTTATTCTGAAATACCATAGATGACGTATGCATTTCAGAAATAATAATGAAATCAGATTCGACATTTATAATGATGAAAGCAACGGGCAAGATAAACCTGCCGTCGACTACTTGGATTACGGTTATACCATGAACGACTTCGATCTCACCTTGGATAAGGTCATTAAAGGTCGGCTAAATGTAGACGACGTGATAAAAAGACACCGAAGGGTACGAAGAAGTGTTACGAAGAAGGATACTATAGAACACGTCACGAAGATCATGGAGAGCATAAAAGAAGAATTAGATGACTTGAAGGTAAGATTCGGCAAAGTATCTCAACTCTTCAGTGCAGTTACTTTGCGTATCATCGCGATAATGTAAAAAGCCGATTTGCAATTCTCATCAATAGCAAACTCAAGTTCATTCATCTGAGATAGACAAGACGCCAAAGTGTCTAGTTTTACCGGAAGGCGGCATAAACTGCACCGAAGCTGTATATCAGGATCCTAACGAATGGCGGATATCGAGACGGGAGATCGAGCAGCAAATCCGGGAGATGCGGATGCAGCTGGAAACATTGAAGGTAAATTATTAATTAATAAAAAATTAATAAAACATGAATAAATTGATAATTAATACATTGATAATTAATTCGCTTTCAGCCAAGTTTCGCGATAATGATAACAAATATGTTTCCAGGAGATTCGCCGGCACTTGATGATTAAACGACCGCAATTCACGGATAACGAGGAGAAGCTCGCCGATGCGGAAGAAACTCTTGATTCGCGTAAGACTCATCATCATCTGCCAAAGGGTCACGCGAGTCGTCATCATAAAAAACATGACAAAACTACTCACACGACCGCGGATCGCGACACGACTACAGAATCCTCTACGAAGTTCGACACAACTCTAAGGAATGAGAAAGTGTCGACGGTGGAAGGGAAATTTGATAAAGACAATATAACTTCTTTCGAGATTTTTACCACCGAAACTGTTGTTGAGACGTCAACGGCGATTTTAACGACGGTTAAACTGAGAAAAACGCCTCGTCGCCAAAAGATTAAAGAAACATCTGCAAACAGAACGGAAATCGAAGAGGATAAACCGCAGAGACGCAGGAAAGTGCATCACCATCGTAAAAACAACACGCTACTTACCAATAGTGTTCATGATGACGTGCCTCGCGTGAATACAACCGATACCAGCGATGTATTATCGTCTACCCGAGATCCTACGACTAGCGAGAGGCAAACTTATGGTCGACAAAAATTCACGACTGTTCCTACTACAATTGCGGAAACAAGTCTCATGAGACAAGAATTTGTCGATGTATCCAGGATCAGTAGCGACTTGAATCAAGATCATATTACGGAATCAATTCCGGTTAGTGAATTGGGGACGACTGCAACGATGACTTCGATACACACGACAGAGAACATACCAAGACCCAGCGCGACCATCGGTAAAGGTTCAAATTCTAATCGATCTCGAAGTACATCCCTAACAATACCGACGACTACGCCCTTGCCAAGGAAGTATTCCAAGATGCAGAGGAACAGGACGTCGGGGGTTCTCGGGCCAGCGAGAATAGACGTTACTATCCTCGAAGCTCCCGACAGGAAACATAAACAGGGTAAGATTGCAAATGAAATATTAAATAATATATTTATTAATATACGATCCTGATTGAATTTTATCTTCAAATGGTTTCCCATTATATTATGTTTAATACAGGTATAACTGCAAGTAATAACGGCCGTTTACCGCCGATAATGAACACCCCTCTAGAAGCTCGACACAAGTGCTACTGTGCGCCAGACACGAAGAAAGACGAGAAGGAACTGGCTAGAGAGGAGAGACGCAGATTAAAGGAGGAGCGTTTAAAAAAGAAGGAGCGAAAGCTTAGAAAAAAGGCTAAGCTGGAGAAGGAATGTCTGACAGAGAGAATGAATTGTTTCGAGCATGATAACGATCATTGGCGTACCGCGCCTCTATGGAATGCGGGACCATTCTGTTTTTGCATGAATGCTAATAATAATACATATTCCTGCATACGCACAATCAACGTGACGCATAATTTCCTTTATTGTGAATTCACAACGGGATTAGTGACGTATTATAATTTAAGAATCGGTAAGTATATGAAGTAAGTGTAAGCCAAAGAAATCTTAAGCGAAATTTCAAGGAGATGACCGATAGATATCTTGATTTCTTTCAGATCCATTCGAACAGTGGAATAGAATATCGTCTTTGACATCTCCCGAAAGATCATATTTGCACGATCAATTGGAGCACTTGAAGGGATGTAAAGGTACATGGGATTGTACAGTCGGCAGCGCTAGGGAAGCCATGCCACAATTACAGCAACATCAACGATATATCTCGAAGAGAAAGTATAGCGATGCGTTTGGTACGTTTCATAAAAATATAAATAAACATTTATATATCGTGTTTAGAATATAGAAAATAAGAATATTTTATAAATTATTTCAAGAAGATATATTTGTACCTTCGGCGTTGCAAATTATACGCGAAAGCGAACTCGGCGGCCCATCGAATAAAAGACGGAAGAAGTTACAAAAGCAAGTATCCACAGTAACATCAGTAAATTTAAATTTTTTAATGAAAATATGTGAATGTTTAATATATGATATGTAATATTGTTTTTAAATTTTAGTTGGAACAGGCGCAATAGAAGCTGGCAAAGTAGTTGGCGACATCATCAAGATATAATGAATCGACGTCATAATAATAAACATCAATATTGATCAATATACCTTTTTTTTATATACGCTTTAACAACCGCGTGAGAAATGCCTTAGGTATACATTAATTTCGCAATGCATTTAGTAGCCTAATTTATTTAACGATAAATAACAAAGATACCATGGTGATATTTAAATTAATAATATTTCGACCCTGCGTATTAGATGTTCATCATCTGCATCATGCATGTTTTCAATGTAATATTTTGTGGCAACTATTGAATTTAGCTATAGGAATTTTACGTGCACTATATGTGGAGCACATTTAAATTTATAGATATGTGAAATAAGTTTTATATTATTTGGATTATATATATATATATATATATATATATATATATATATATATATATATAATCCAGATGTATAAAATTAAAGACATAAAGAAATAATTTTATTTAATTTCATATTACTTATTGAAATTATTTGCTCTTTTTAAAAAATTTTCTGGGAATATTTAATAAATAGAAATATGGGGTAAAAAAATTGTCTAATCAGATTTCAAAATTTTCGAGATATGCATGACACGTATGTAATATTTCTTTGTAAATTAATTAAATAATATTATGTTTCTTAGTATAAATGTATGGATTAAACTAATGTCAAAATATTTTTTGGCACTAAAAAAAATCTCTCATTATGACAAACTGAAATCAGCTGTGTAATAGAAGACTGTGAATGCACAACGAAAACATGACTCGATCTCTCCTTGCCAATTGTGATCTTTCTGCGAATATTATTATTGGCATAATAATCGGAAAGAAATGTTTATCAAATGCTGCCAATTTAATTTTTAACTCTCCTATTGCCTTCATATAAAATATGGAAATACAGATGCTCTTATATAATGCACTGCCAAAAAAGTTTACTAAATATTGATATTCATTATATACCTTCATTATATACCTATTTTAGAACAAGAATGGATAATCTTTTCTGTGAATTTTTTTCTAGTTTAATTGTAATTAATATGAAAATTGTAAATATTATGTAAATGTATGTATTTACGGAATTTTTATTTGGAATCTTTTAATTTTATATGATATTTATCAGCATTTTATATTATTTTAATACACAGCTGTTTTAGTAGCAGAATAAATAATTAACAATGTATAATGTTAGGAAAAGTAGAATGCTGATATCTATGTTCACGAAAAAGCTATTAAATAACAATTATTGAAACAAAATTATAGTTTTCTATAATTTATGTCTATATATTTCACAAACCTTTGGATGATATAACTATGCACTATTATAAAAATTTCGTTTATTGTCTCTAAGATACATATTATAATGCTGTATACTTAAGATAATGCCAATTAATTTTCTAATCAGCATTCTGTTTTTCCTAACTTTTTGCATCACATATTAAACTGTTATTCACCTATTTTCAAAAGAAAATGTAATAGGAAGAAATTATGTATTCAAATCTTTTAGAATTTAGAAAATAAACATATTGTCCTTGTGGTATGAATTACTACATTTCTCTCTTTGGTTTATAGGGAGAGAAGAGATAAATCGAACTAAAAATAATTATTCAGTTACCATCAAAACTCATATATACATGTGTATGTATATAGACAATGAGAAGTAGACAAATAATTTATGTTTAATTAAAATTGTAGAATGTTGGACAAATTCACAAAAGAAATAATTCGACAAATATTTTTTTGAATTTTGTATGCATTGAATTCTGTAATAAAATGTTACTTTTCAGAAAATTAATTTACATATTCTTTTAATTAATATATTACACACACATATAATTATATTAACATATATTCCTATTATCCTTTCATTAGAAAAAAGTAAGAAATTTGTGAATCGTTTAAGAAAATCAAAAATCAAGAGGATCATCTAATTCATCATAAGTTTCAAAAATACTGGTGGTATTGTTACAATCTTCATTAGATTTAATGTTATCTTGCATATTGCATTTATCATCATTATTGGAATTACGGTTAAAACTCGTAAAACATAATCCTTCTGTCTCATTATTAACATCTTCACTTTCAAAATCAGTATCATCTAAATATTTTTCAAAACTTAAATTCTTATTTATATTATTATATGAGGGTTTCTTACTTGGTGTTAGATTGTCGATTTTCTTGTCGAAAACTAAATCTTCCACATCTTCTGTCTCTGATGAATATTTTGTCCATTTATTTTCAGCAGCCTGGTCACTGTCCGATTCTTGATGAATATTTGTAAGCGCATCACAAGTATCTTCAACATCATCTTCCTCAGTAGGTGTAAAGAACGTATTATTTGCTTTCATAGCATTCAACTGTTGGACATGAAGACGACAATCCCGTCCAGATCCTTGAAAATATATCTAGAAATACAAATAATCAGATATATAAAATTACAACACATTATCACAATTATCATCATTAATGATTTTATATTTTAAATAAGTACCTGCTGCATAGATTGTTTTGCGTTACACAACTTGCAATGCCATTTGCGTGCTTTTTTAACAATGTGCACCTATAAAAATAAAAAAATAAAAAATTATAAAATAAATACAGAATAAAATACAAGTTATAACAAATATTAATGTCGACAATATCTTTATTACGCTTACTTGGTACATTTTACAGGAATAACAACACAAAACGTTCATTTCTTGCGGCATTATTGAAACAAATCTAAGAAAATTTGAAAAGAAACTGCAAGATAATCATGCACAACTTCAAATCTCTGATAGCAAATGCAGCCAATATACAAGATGCACATACATCACATGCATGTATTCAACATAAAGGCTATGATCGGGAAAACGCTCTAGATGCTTTAAGGCCCGGTTCCACAACTCGAGTTAATCCGAGTTTAATACATTAAACTGATTGGTCCATTTGCTACTTAAACTCGGATTAATTGGATTGTAGAACTGGGCCTAAAGCGTTTGATTGACCAATCAGGTTAAAAAAATCTTTACTCCTTTTTTCTGATTGGTCAATCAAACGCTTCAAAGCATTCAGAGTGTCTTCCTGACCGCAGCCAAAATATTAAATATACAGAGAATGGATTTTATACGAACAGACCTATTAAGCCCGATTACAAACCAATATTATTTTAACTTTAAGCAGAATTTAAATATGTCTGTTTTTATTTATAAATATATATATATATATATATATACACACATATATATATGAATATATGCATAATATACACGACAGGATATAAAGAGGAAAATTAAAGCTATTGTACGAGACTAAATTTAAAAGATATTGTTTTAAATAAAGTATTATTTATTCCACTGTTTAACAATGTTTCAGAAAATATATACATATTAATAAGATATATATTATTTTATACAGATATTTTATACTAAGACATTTAAAATAACGTTTCATAATTTATTTTAATTCTATTGCACAATCTGGCAGAGCTTCTGCAAGTTCTTTCCTAAGCAAAGCTTTATCCTCCAAGTATGGCATCCCAGCAAGTTTTAACGTTTTTAGATTTCTGAAAGATATAAGAACAAAATCTGATATTTGAAAGTTGAATGTATATTTTCATAATTTAAAAATATCAGTCTTCATTTTATCAGAAAAAAACAGCTTTTAATATCATATATTATCTTATTATATTAATAATATATAAAATACATACTTTAGATTTTTCAAGCTGCGTATTCCTTGATCAGTTATACTCTTACAATCTTTGATTTCAAGTGCAGTCAAAGTATCCTTCACTGCTGATAACAATGGCAGAGCCATGTCATACAAGTAAAAACAACGTATAAGTTTCATCTCATCGATATATCTGCAACCAACTGAATTATAAAAATTAATTTATTTTATATAATATAGTTATTATAGTTATATACCAATTGTTTTCTTTCCACAATTTACTTATAATATATAAATAAATTTTGAATTGAGCAATTTATATAACAAACACATAAATGTCAATACCAATCATGTTACTACTAATGGTATATATAAAATGATCTACTAAAAAAAATTTTAGATTAATACTGATTCATACAAATTGTTTCAAACTGTATGGAGTATATTATCAAAAATTCCTCCTATAATAGCTCATTATATTATCATATTCATTATATTATTAAAAATATTATGAATTTATCCCTTATGTATTTACGGCACTAACCAAAATGTGGAAATCCTACATGTGTTATTCCAGAATCTGTAGCATCTACAGCTTGAATATAGTATTGATTTTTTTCTGATGGTAAACTATTATAATCTTTCAGATAAGTTGAATAACTTTTCCACTTCACGCTGGCACCATTCCTTAAGAGCCACTCAGCACATGCACGATCTGGACCAACTGATTGAACTCTTTCTTGATCAACTCTTAAAATAATTACTTGTTATTAGCTTAAAAATTATGTATAATCAAGTACTTTTATATAATACTTCAATATAATAATTTATATATAAGTACCTGTTAAATATTATTGTTAACCAGTAGAAAAATTCTCTATTAGGTATTTTTCTACAATGATTTACAGTACCTAATAATCCATTTAATATCTGTAATGTTCATAATATATATAAGAAACAAGTAATTAAGACAAACTTGTATTCATATCATCTTCATTTTCATATCTTTTTAATTATTCTACAAACATTGATTACAAAATATGATTAAAATTAAATTTTTTCAAATAATAAAAAGAAATGTCAAATTATTAATAATGAATAATATAAAAGACAATAATATCATACAGGTAATGCCATTGTTTATTTTGATGTAATCATACATCTACATCCTCAAGTCTTGAGGCTCAAGATACTAAGGTAACTCAGTAATGAAAGGTTCTCGCGCTTGCGCAGTGAAGCGATTCCTAGCAGAAGCTACTCCAGATTTCGTCCACCTAGCATGGAACAGAACCAAAAATTGTACACCTTATATGTTATCTTCTGAGAACATACGTGGTTTCGCAATTCACATTTTTGTGAATCCGCAGCGGGCGGTTCGCTCTCAGGAATTTAAAAGTGGATCATTGCTCTTGTTTAATATATAAAAAAAAAAGTGGGTCATGATACCTTTTACAATTAGTCTTTTCTCTGTCTATTTGATTGTTTTATTACGCTTTTACAAGGTCAGGTTCTATAATGTAACTTTTAATTTTGTTTTCATATGAAATTATTATTTTAAACATAATAATTTTCTTTCTTTGCATTTCTATTATGAATAGACATTTCCAACCTTTACTAAAAAAAACTAAAAATATCCCTCAATATTTCTCTCTTCGGACAATTTATTTATATTTATATATAATTCTCTTTATTCTTTTAAAAGTGAACATCGAGAACAAGGTACACGAGTATTGTAAATGTCAAAAAATTATCGCGCGAATAGTATAGTTGTAAATATATAAAAATAAATGCAATATACTATGAATTTTCTACGTTACATACTGAATCGAAATTGCGCGAAAGAGGAAAACAAGAACAAGCCTATGAATAGACATTTCCATCCTTTACTAAAAAAAAAGAAATTAAAAATATCTCTTAATTTTTTCTCTATTTCTTCGGGCAAGTCTACATATATGACCAATATGATGAATTGATTCCATCTTTATATATTTATCATTATGTGCTATTAATTAAAGCCGTAGACAATATTCAGAAATCGAAGTTGCGCGCAGAAACGAATGCGCACTGGTTCGGCCGCCATGTTGGCGCGTGACTGCTACGTCACTGCTACGTCAAACGCGTCATACGGCCGCCATGTTGGCGCGTGAACCGGAGTCATACGCAGTTACACGGATCGTCGTACGTTCGCATTTTTCGCATCTTTTAACCGTTTTTAAACGAATATCGCGAGTGAACGAGCGTCGAGAGTGTCGAAGGATGATCGCGCGACTTTTATAGTGTGTCGATGGAAACGCGCGACAGCGATTTTTGACGATATTCAGTGATGGCGTCATTGCGAAGATGGAGCGAAGTTGCGTCGCGTTATTCGCGCCCTTGATGATGATTATCGGATGCGAGCGAATATCGGGAGTGCCGAATAAAGTGTCGCGCGTTCGCGTTGATGATATTGTGTGGATTTATGTGCATCAAGATCGGAATAGGACGTTCCGAGGCGAGCGAACTGTCCCGAGGAGGAGCGGCCTGTGGAACAGACGGTGAGTAGATTTGATTTATCGTATTTGCGTGACAATTCGTGCTCATTCGACGCTTATACAACATCGCGATGTCCCGAATTACGTTCGAACAAATCGGCGCCGCATCATAATTCGATGCGATGCCGTACAATTCAAATAAAGTCGATCGCGTGAAGATGGTTAGGCTAGAAGCGATTTCAAATTTATTTTATATACGCGCAGTGCTGCACAGCCTATCTCGTAGGGCTGCCAACTGTCAAACGATACATTTTTCGATCTAACCTAACCTAACATAACCTAACCTCTCAGTGCTTTGGATGTCGAATGTAAATACAAGCGTATGCTGCCTGGATTATATCATGCTTTCAAAAATAATATTTAATTATTTCATTAGTGTATTACATTTTATTACGTAGTATATTAATCGTATTAAATGTGCGACGTACAGTTTTACACATTTTAATAAGGAGCATATTATATAATTGGTTAAGTTAGATTAAATTGAAACAAGCTGCTGTGATTCATTTAACGTAATAGGATTAATTTGACGAATGTGCAGCTATTGAAGTTACATGATATTTGTCGATACATTTTTAAAGTAATCATGAGTGTCTTATCTCATCTCGATTACATGAAATTAAAATATAAAATATTTATGTATTCCACATTAACGTTATTCATTACAAGTACTATATTATTTTTCTTATATCTCAATTGTATTCAACCATTTATTTCATCGATGAAGCTTTTCATATACCGCAGATAATATGATACGGTGTGTGGAATTTTATACAGGTAATACGTGGCACAAAAATAATTTGCTCTCAAGTATTGTGCTCATTTCTCAAAAATAAATCAAATTAAATTATTTTCAGAATCCAAAAATCGCTACATTGCCAGGATTGTATCTTATTATAACTGCGATATTATCACCTTTTAATATGTGTGCGCAGTATTACATACATAAAATATATAAATTTATTTGAAACATACTGAAATCTTTATCTTATTTATAATATTCATGATATTATAAAAGAAAATTGCAACTCTAATGAAACAGAGCGGTGGAATAATTGGTTGATACTTATGCTGGTCTACAATATTTATCCTTTCTTCACCATTAGACTTTTGGTGCTTTTTTTATTATACAGATGTTATCTGTAAATATAGTACTCGTAATGTTGTTTCTGTATCACTGTAAGCATACGAAAATGATAGCATTTGCAGGTAATTATGTTATACTTATATATCGTAAGAAAGAGAAAATAAAATAAAAGTTGAATACTGAATGTGCTCTAAAGTAAATCTCATCTAAATAAATAAATGCATAAATGTGCGCCCCATATTCCTCATGAAAAAAATACATAATATTAATCTTTATGTATTATTATTTTTAGATTTGTTTTTTATTCTTTTAAATTCTCTAGATGCACTTTTCATTTCTCCTCTCTTTCTTTCCAACTACTAAATATACTACTAATCTATCATTTTTAATATAGATCTGTCATTTTTAGTGTACATTATTGCAGTAGTGGAATAAAGAGCAAATCTTTTGGCACATTTAAAATGTACAGAAAAGTCAGTTTTATCTGATGTGTTTTTTTCAATGGAAATATCTGAAAAAATTCATACGTCTTTTTTAATCTTAATCTTTCTAAATAAAAATTAGAATAATAAATTTGCAAAATAATTTGCTTTAATATATTTTTATTGCAAACATATGAAGCAAAGTGCTCAAGGTGCATCACTATGAAAACATAAATAGAATAAAAAGTAGATATCGTATACAAAAAAATTAAAATATTTACACTACATATTTGATATAGCATTTAATCGATATGTGCAGTAATACGATAAAATCTAATTTTTTCTCGAATTTTTTCACGAAATTTAAACTACTAAAAAAATATCAAATATCCAAATTGTTCAATAGTCTTGCGAAAGAAGCAGTTCTCGCTTAAAGAATCTTTAGAAAAAAAAATAAAAAAATTCTAAAGAAAAAAAAGGACAAAAAATGTTAAATCTCACATGGATATTTAATTTTATACTAATATTTTTAATGTAACACTTCATTTATAAAGATTTTATTTTGTGAAACGTTTATACATAAAAGTACAATGATTATACGGCTTCTTTAATCTATTGTTTCATTTTCGCATGGTTTTCGTTTATAAAATATTTGTGCCTCTGGATATTTTTTTCTGGAAGCTTCATGCAATGTGTGTAACCTAAATCTGTTAACGTACAAGTATTAGAGTAACGGAATAAGTATATGTAATTTGATTAAAAATACGTTTCTTACATGAATTTTTAATTACATATTTTATTATACTACAAATAAAAAAATCATGCTTGCGCGATTCTAACAATTTACCGACGTGCACAAAATGATGACTTTACCGGCAGTCGAAATATCTTGACTACGTAATTCTGGCGTTTAACGCGAATGCAGATGGCGATACTAAACAGCAAAAAAAGATTGCCGCATGGGTGAAACGCGAGGCGCGAAATATTGCATTTCGTATATCGTTCTTTGCGAAAAAAATGTGTGAAAGTGTTGTACACGTATTCGCGATTAACAGTTCGTTATTGATGAATACTAATCAACGCAAGTATAATTTGTCGTACATTGGATATCTCTTCAAACTCTGTACATCGTTTTCGAATCGTCCTGATCGCACGTTCCGATAACACAGTGATCCAAAAAAAAAATCGTCGAATATATTTCGTACGATTAGAATGGTGCACAGTATCGAGTGACTTTTATTTATTTGAAGCGCGATGTATTTTTGTGCGGACATGTATCAAAAAGAATGCACGTACTTCTCCAAATTGAGGCGAGGTAAGATTGCAAAATATCGAAGCTTTATGCAATGTGTGTAACCTAAATCTGTTAACGTACAAGTATTCGAGTAACGAGGAATAAAAGATAAAGATTTTGAGATCGTACAAGTTCGTATGATATATATGTATATATTAATATCAATCTTTATTATATATTTATATATTTATTTATTTATGAGTTTTCTTTTTCTTTTTCTCAACATCATTTATTTATTTAGTTCGCTCTCAGTCTTTTAAAATGCAAAACTAAATATTATAAGATTTGACTTTGGAAAAGCGCGATAAAGCAATCGAATCATTCGTAATTCATATCATTAGCATAATATACTACGAATTTTCTACGTTATATATTGAATCGAAATTGCGCGAAAGAGGAAAAAAAGAACAAGCCTATGAATAGACATTTCCATCCTTTACTAAAAAAAAAAGAAATTAAAAATATCTCTCAATTTTTTCTTTATTTCTTCGGGCAAGTCTACATATATGACCAATATGATTAATTGATTCCATCTTTATATATTTATCATTATGTGCTATTAATTAAAGCCGTAGACAATATTCAGAAATCAAAGTTGCGCGAACGTTGAACGCAGGAATGCCAGAAACGAATGCGCAGTGGTTCGGCCGCCATGTTGGCGCGTGACTGCTACGTCACTGCTACGTCAAACGCGTCATACGGCCGCCATGTTTGCGCGTGAATCGGAGTCATACGCAGTTACACGGATCGTCGTACGTCCGCATTTTTCGCATTTTTAACCGTTTTTAAACGAATATCGCGAGTGAATGAGCGTCGAGAGTGTCGAAGGATGATCGCGCGACTTTTATAGTGTGTCGATGGAAACGCGCGACAGCGATTTT